TTTAATCCAACAATTTGGATCTTTGGACCGTTGACTAATCCAACGGCCCAAATTCAACTTTAATTTTTTTTAGTTTTATATTTATAAATTTATTGAATCCAACGGTTGATATTTAATATAATCAAATCCAATATTAGAAAAAGATTTAAAGACTCCAATTTAAATTCAACGGCTAAAATTATTTAAAAAAAATTATTTAACTCAAACTTTACTAAAAAAACTCTACAAATCCCTACGTATTTGTTCAAACATCCATACAAAATTCACTTTTTTCCTACAATTCTTCCAATTTTTCTCTGTACCATCTTACAAAAACATTTGTATCATGCGTTTCATATTCTTTCATGCATTTCATATTCTTTCATAGTGTTTAATGAGTTTCATAGTGTCAGTTTAGTGGTTTTTCAATATTTATCGGAATTTAAATATTTTTAAGTTAAAATGTTCATAAAATTAATTTAGGATAGTCTACATAATTTTTTTAAAGTTAATTAAAAATTAACCTAAATTCATTCTTTAATAATTTGAAGCTAAAATTTTAGGCTATAATGGTTGGAGCAGAAAAGTTGTTTCTTGGTAAAAACCTAAATTTTCTAGGCTAAAAATTTAGATTTTATTCCAAGGGTTAGAGATGGTCTCAGACAATTCAGAAATCAAGAAATTAGAAATCATGCAATAATCAATTTTACCCCTGATTATTCTCTATGGCCTCTTTGAGATCGATTTCTCCTCTTCTCTCAGTCTATAAAAACCTTATAATTTCATTGTTGTTATCTGCACCGCTGCATCCCAAATCCCTAATATCTCAGTTCTTGTCATTCTTGATCAAGTGGCTATTGCTTTTAGGTGATGATTTTAGTCTTTCACTCAAATTTTGTTCAAATTATTTTCATGTCCAACTATATTGAAATTCTAACACGATTGTCTCTTTTTGGTGCAGTTTTCTGGGGCTTTGTATTCCTGGGTGGTTAAGCTTGGGGAACTTGCGGTGAAAGCTGCTACTTAACTTTTGGTGAGTTTTAATTTGAGTATTGATAATAAATTAATTGGAATATTAGACTATGCCTTTCTCTCTATTTAAGTAGTTAGGTTTCTTAGTCAGCAAAAAGAAAAAGCAATTCAAGCTCTTTATTTCCTCCCAATTTGTGCTTTTGAAATCTTTTTCACATAGGAAGCAGTATTGGCTGCTTCTCTTTGTGTTCTTATTACGCTTGTTTTTCTCTTGTCGCCTTTTTGGGATCCTATGGATGAATATTTCAGAACGGAAAGAAGGCTTTGTTTTTTTTCTTTTTTCTTTTTTCTTTTTTTTGTTGATTTTATCTAATTATAATGATGCTTTGTTAAATTTAAATTAACAGTATATTGATTACTATTAAATGAAATTTCAAATGTGAAATTTGCAGAATGTGTATAAGTGTAAATTCATGTATAGTTGTGAATTGATGTATTACATATCGCTTTTGGTAATTTCCAATTTTTTTTTATATCTAATAGACTAATACTAATGTATTGAATCAATACTACACATTCGGATTATATGCATGTTAGAGTGTTTTTTTTTTCTTTGTTTTTTTCATTTGTTTTCTATTTATTTATTTGACATTCATATTGTATTTTCTTTTGTCAAATTGAGTGAAGCTACTGGAAAAGTAAGTTCTCAAACTTTGACCAACGCTGATGCTTCGTCAATGCCACCTCCTCCACTTGTGGATAATGGTAAGAAGAAAAAAGCAAGTAAGAAAATGTCCACTGTGTGAGATCACTTCACCAAAGTTGATGGTGGTGAATCTTTTGATCCCAATGACCCTAGAGCTGCTTGCAACTAGTGTAAGAAGAATTATGCTTGTGATACGAAGAAGTGTGGGACCTCTTGTTTGTGGAACCATTTGTCTAGTTAGTGTAAAAGGTATCCTCATGGGTTGAGGACAAAAAACAAAAAATCCTCAACTTTGGGGAGAAAGATGGTAATAGGAGCCTTATAGCAATTGGCTTTAGTAAGGAAGCTTGTAGGGTTGGGTTAACCAAGATGATAGTTCTTGACGAGCTACCCTTTAGCTTTGTTGAGAAGGAAGGGTTTAAGCTTTTCTGTGGTATTAGTTCCCCAAAATTTACTCCACTCTCATGCATAACTATTGCGAGAGATGTGTTTCAATTGTATTTGGATGAGATGAGGCTTTTGAAAAATGTGTTGACCACAAATGCATAAAGAGTTTGCCTTACCATTGATTGCTAGACATCTACACAAAACGTTAGTTATATGGTTTTAACTGCTCTTTTTGTTGATTGTGATTGGAAATTGCATAAGCGCATATTGAATTTTTATCTTGTACCTAATCACAAAGGGGAAACAATTGGGAAACTAATTGAATGGGGAATATAAAATGTGTTCACTGTCACTGTTGATAATGCTTGAGCAAATAATCAGGCTGTTAATTATGTGAAAAAGGAAACTGAGAAATTGGAAAACTAATGTACTTGTTCTTGATGGTGTGTACATGCATTTACGATGTAGTGCTCATATTGTGAATCTGATAGTGTCTGAGGGGTTAAAAGAATTGTATTTTCTTTTGTGAGGTCCTTGCCCTCAAGGCTAAAAAAAATAAAGGAATGTGTGGATCGTGTGAAAATAAAGTCTAAGGGTATTGTGCTTTTAGATGTACCAATAAGGTGGAATTCCACCTATTTAAAGTTGGTTGATGCCTTTAAGTTCCAAAAAGCATTTGAAAGGTTGGAGGAAGATGATGGACGTTTTGTTATTTACTTTATAGATGGTGATTAATAAAAAAGGGTTGATTCCTCCTACAACTGATGATTCGGATAATGCATCAATTTTTGTTAGGTTTCTGAAAACATTTTATGATGTGACACTCAAGTTCAGTGGATCTTTAACTATGACTTTTAATACTGCATTTCATGAGATGTGTTCAATACAACGAGAACTAACAGTTCTTGGTAGCAGTGGAGATCATTTGTTGCAAAAAAAAATGGCTATTAGTATGAAACTCAAGTATGAAAAATATTGGGGTTATGTGAAAAATGTTAATAAACTGCTAATTATTTCAATGGTGCTTGATCCAAGATTTAAATTGGATTATGTTTCATTTTGCTTCAGTTTTGTATATAGTGCAGATAAAGTGATTAAGTTGAACAAAGGTGTTAAAGATGTGTTACTGCATCTTTATGACTTTTATTTGAAGTCTAATGAACAAGCTCCCCAAGCTCCGAATATTGGTTCATCTAGTAGTAGTGCAGCAACGATTGTTGATGGTAGTTCTATTGAAGATGCAAGGTTGTCGTTTTTGAAGATAAGAAAACAGAGAAATAGTGGTGAGTTAAGAAGTGAGGTGGATAGGTTCTTATTGGAACCTCCTAAGAATCCAATGCATAAGCAATTTAATTGCTTGAAATGGTGGAAGGTCCACTGGGAAAAATATCCAATTTTAGCTAAGATTGCAAGGGATGTGTTTGTAATACCAGTTTCCACAGTGGCATTTGAATCTATCTTTAGCATTGGAGGGCGTATTCTTGATGATTATAGGAGTTCCCTGGCTCCTAAGATGATAGAGGCACTGATTTGCACACAAAACTAATTAAAGTCATCTCCTATCTCTTCAGAAGTTGAATCATCATCCATTAATGAGATGGAACTCCATGAGGAGATCATATCAGGTAATAAACTATTTGCACTTGTATTTGGTTTTCATTTTTCAAGTAAATACTTTTTGACTTGTTTTACTTTCATTTGTATATGTTTTGTAGAGTTTTTAGTTGCTTCCACATCTAAAATGGATACCATTGAGTAATACATGGTTGAGTTAAGGTACTTTGCAATTTCTATAAACTAATCAAATCTAATCTTCTATTTAAATTCCAATGCTTTTGTATTATCAGTTTACTGATTTAATGAATGTTTTTAATCCATTGTAGGCTTGCAACTCCTCTTGAGAGCAACTCCACCCCTAAAGACTTTGCGCCAGCACCTAGCCCATTTATCCACTTCAGTGAACAATAATAAACCCTAATGAACAGTAATAGGCCAAAGCATCTCCACCCCAAAAAAAATGTGCTGGCACCCAGTCCATTTAAAATATTAAATAATTTTTTTATAAAATAATAAATAAAAAAATAGTTTTAATTTCAGATAGGATTTTTAACCAATCTCGTCACGCCACGTGTCATTATCCGAACGTACTATTTTGTGAATAGATTTCCGCTAAGATTTTCAACCAATCCTGAGAACCCACGTGTCACTTCCTGTTTACAATAATTTAGGCAAGATTTCGATAAGATTTTTAACCAATCTTGTCACGCTACATGTCATTATCCGAACGTACTATTTTGTAGATAGATTTCTGATAAGATTTTCGACCAATCCCGACAGTCTATTCAAAAAAATTAATTTTTTTAAAATTTTTCTGTATTTTTTAAAAAAATTTCACAATTTTTAATTAATTTTTAATAAATTTTAATGTTGTAATTAATCTGGACCGTTGGATTTGAAAAATAATCAAATCCAACAGCCAATTAGCTGCCACGTGGCCAACGGTCAAAATTTTGACCGTTGGGCCTTTTTTTTTTGTTTAATTTTTGGTGAAAAAAACGTGGACCGTTGATCTGTGATCGGACGGTTCATTTTAAAAGTCAAATTTAAATTTTTTTTACCTTTGGAAATCCAACGGCCTACAAAAACTAGCCGTTGGAAATCCAACGACTCTGAGGAGGGCCACGTAGCCCTCAGCTGTTCGAAGCCCACTTGCGCTGAAACGCGGAGCCCGCCACCTGCAGCGCTGTCCCTACTCGCGCCCAGTCGCGAGTGTTGTGCATGCGCCAGAGTTTTGGACCGGCTTCTGGATCTGTTCGAAATGGACTGGCCTGCTGCCTGGCATGAGCTGGGTGCCAGGCTGTTTCACGGGCTGGAGCTTTTGGACAGCAGGCCGGGCTGTTAATTGGACAGGTGCTGGGCAAAAAAAGCTCCGGTGGAGCTTCTCTGAATGCTTTGGACCTTGACTGTGGGAATAAATTAGTGATGTCATCTCATGTTGCTTAGGGTCATCAAAATTTGCTTCTCAAAGCTCATGCACACTGCCACATCATAGCAATGATCCATCCAAAATCGCATTTTATATGATTCGTTTTGCTGATTTTATTTTCTAGGATTTGAGTTTTTATCTCCTGATTATTTTTTGTAGAGGTATTAATTTTCCTTTTTGACTGGAAATTTGAGGGTTTTAAGTATAATGCTATCAAATTAATTCTATTTTTCTAATTTTCTGATTTTGGTGCAAAGCACGGAGTGCTAATATACTGATCCTGGGATTTTTTGTCTTTGCAGGATTTTGGTCTTTGAAATGGGTATGTGTTGTTTTTAACATTTCGGTTCTCACGTATTCCGGTTTTTTATTTCTGTTGTCTGCCTCTTTGTAAAAATAGTTGTAGTTTTCTGAGAAGGTTGGGACTTTAGTTATATTTTCTGTGTAATCTCAATTGAGTTTAAGACTCTCAAAACAAAGGAAAACAGATAAGAGTGATTAAAATTTTGCATCCGAATCGAGGAATTGCTTGCTGCACTAAATCATCATATTGTTCTTCATATTTTGGAAACAGATTTTTATTTTTTGGTTTTTTATTATTATTATTATTTTGCTGTTATTAGTATGAATTTTGTTTGATGGGAGGCTGGTTGAGTGTGGAAAAGATTGTATGGGTCCTCTGTATTTGAAGGAAGATTTTCATAAAATTCCAGTATTTTTTTGCAAGTAATTACTTTTGTGTGTTTGAACATTGTACTATTGTTTCTTGCCATTTTCATTTTTATTTTTGTGTTATTTGAAGCTAAGCTATACATATTTCTCGATAACGTACCAGCAATTATGTTTCCATAATCTGAATGACTTGCAAAGATTTGTTGCAATTACTCTGTGAACTTTAGTATTGTATAATATTTCAATCAGTTGAATATATTTTTAACAAATTTTTGTATCAGATTCTTTTGGGGATGTGAGCAATCTCTATAAATCATTTGTTTCCCTTTTAGATTGTGAAAGAAAAGGGGATACTGGAACTTTCGTGACCTTTGATAATCAATACATTTTGGAAAGCAGTTTTTCCGTTTCTTATTACTTGATGTGGACGCGGTACTCATATCAAGATTTTTTACCATAATGTTTAGCTTCATAGTTGTGCATATTTCAGTTGATCCTCTCTTTTGCTCATCTCCTGCAGAAATGGATGAGTTTGGGAAATGGGTTGTCTGATTCCAAAGCTAAAGACTTGAAGGAGATTTGAGTAGTTGGAGCGTTTCCCCTAAGTTTGATTCACGAAATTCAGTATCTTACAAGCTTATTCATGTAAACATTTTTATGAAATATTATTACTGCTTCTGAGTAAGCCTTTGTTTGGAGCACGTTGGAAAGGCTCGAGATGTTGGTGTCAATAGAATTGTGCTTTTCCTCAAAGTTTCAGATGCTTTGAAAGGTTTTCCTCTTACTCTCCGGCTTTTGTTCAACTGTTTTGCAGTGTGATTTGATTTTTTGGATGGCTTTTCTGGATTGTTCTTAATTTTATGTTTTCTGTTTGCATTTGATTTGGTTCAATGGAGCTAATATGTAAATTATCAAATAAACTTATGTAGAGACATGGGTTCAGCCTGAATAGAAATCCTAATATTGATATTGGTTAGATTTTTTTTTTTTCCTTGTTCTTTTTATTTTTTATTAATTTTTGAACAATTTAATTTATTAGTTTTAAGTCCTATTTCACACAATCAACCAACATGCTTGCAATTTTGTCTAATAGTCTAAAATTCATATAATCATTTTATAAACTGGGATGTGTGAGGAAGTGTATCTCAATCTGAAATTATACATTTGTGTTTAAATTAAGCATGTGTTTGGTATTTGTGAATTTACAACTGCTTAATGTTAAGGTTAATACTGATTGCCAAATTTTTGTGCGGTTTTCAATCCCGCAGCATCGTGTGGGCTATTCTTTGCTAGTGGGTTTTAAAAATCACTACCCGAGCTTGTTGGGTCAACCAACAGGTTTAGGCCTAACCCGGACCGACCCCGTCCATTGCCCACCCCTTAAGATAGCTATATATAATAATATACGTACTTTCAAGTTTTGCTTCAACGTGTGAGATTCTTTCCACTTATTAACTAGTTTAGCTTAGTCATATATATTCAACTTTGACCTAATCTTGTCACAATCAAACCTAATTATGGTCTAATCATACAATCCCAAGTAGTTTCTGGTAACATGATGGCACCAAGATATTGGAGTTAGATATAATCCAAATGTAGCAAGGAACAAAATAGTTAGGAACAGTTGAGATCCAGTAATAGCAATAAAACATGGCATGTGCATAAATGGTGTGACATAATATACCAAAGTGCACCACCTCCTTTAAATATACTCCAAAGTTTTACAACATATAGAGGAAATATCACATTTTTCACACAACCTAAACACACAAATTACAAATATATGTTGTTCCCTACAAGGTCCTTTGGGTGTTGTTATGAATAAGGTTCTAAAAGATGTTAGGTGTTAGTCAGGGTAGTGGGCTGGGGTTTAGAGCCTAGACAGCTAGACGGACTTAAGTAAATTTATTATATATTATATAAATAAGTGTCTATTGGTACTTAAAAGATACATAATTATACTAAGATACACAAATTTCAAAATAAACATATTGAGCACATGGGGAACAAGCAAGCATATAATGAGTGTTCATTTAAGTATTCAACAAGTCTTTTACATTTTATTTAAAAAATAAAATGCAAAGCGGATGCTTATGCGGGTCTAGGTAGGCTAGACCGGCGCCTAGGCAGATGCCGAAGCAGTTCTAGGCCCCTTTGCTTAATCTTCAAATGCCTAAAAATTAATCGGAACGATGACCAGCCGCCTAACGTCTAAACGAAACCCAAACGACGCTAAGTAGAACTTAAATAGCGGTAGGTGAAGATTTTTAGAACAGTAGTTATAAAAGCATCATATGTCATTTGCTTTACAAAACCAGTAAAAAAACCAAGCAAAGCGGCACCATCTCATAAGACTTGCAACTCCCATTTGCACATGATTGGCTTTCGGCTCTCATGCATTTGTAATGAAAGGAAAACAAATTTAAGCACGTGCCATTTGAGGGACAATTTCCACGTGCCTTAAGTTAGTTATGAAAACAACCTTTCCTTTTGAGAAAGGAGGACTTGACTAGCTAGATGAATGACAATATGTAATGTGAGTGAAAGTACGTGATAATTGCAATGCAAGTGGGCTGCAATACATGCCTAGTTGTATGACAACGGCGTTTGTGGAACAAGTCTTATCCATGCCTGTGTTGTTTATTTCTCCTCTTGCTTTAACGATGTCCATTTTCTTATTGTATGTGAGAATTTGAGGACTGGCCTACAACATTCACAAGTATTTAGTATTATCACTATTCATTAATTGGATATGTTCTGTAAATGTCATTACAACATATTTGATGTTCAAATAATGATAGCAGTGAGTACTTATAAGTATTGTAACAAAATTCGACATTTTAAGTGAGTCTAGATACTAGCAATTACTCATATAATAATCAATATATTATACTTGTGTACAGAAATGGTTCTCACTACGCCCTTCAAAGTGTTTCTAGCTAAAGCATTAATCTCGAAATTAGACCTGGCAAATTCATGCACAACCTATTAACTCAACACGAAACAAAATCCCTTGGAACCCACTAAATTCCCCATCCAAACAAACCCTGTTTTTGGATTTGAGAGAAACATATCAAAAGATATTTTTGTTGATTGCAATAATTAAACTTGTTTCTAACAAAGACATGTTCAATATGATTAATCCGCGTCAAATGTAAAAATAAAATTTTCATTTAAGAGTAAGGCGTCAAATTCGTAATAATATGAGACCACATTCAATTAAAAGAGATGATGATTATCCATTAACAAAATATCTCAATTTTGAGCTTTTGTCTCCACCTAACGTGCAAGTAAATAGGATTACGAGTCAATTGCATCAACAAAGCAAAACAAACCCTGCAAATTCCACCACTCATGAATTGCAATACAGTACTTTTCATTTTTGGAATGCAATCTGAAAAGACAAAAGGCCGCTACCTACACGCAATGTCATAATATAGCAAGTGTGAGAGAGAGGTAGAGAAAATTAGAGGGAGAAAGGGAGTGAAGGATAGAGATATAAAGAGAGTGAAAGAATTTCTCACGTGGCCAAATGCCAAGCCAATATTTGGGGCACGTTTTTTATGCTTTTTATTTTTATCAAATACTCTCCTATAACAAACCATCTCTTTATTTTTATGATTTGATTTAATTCTTGGATGGAATAGTAGTCTCTCCTCCTGGCGGCTATCGGAAGCGGAGTGCAGCTCGTACGTTCAACTTTCTCCGATGGCCACTTCTGAACCACAGTCGGATTCTCACAAAACTCCAACGTAAGTTCATCAATGTTTTCATGCCCGAAATGCTATGATATTTTTCCGAATTCACACGCACATAAGTGATTCCTAGCCGTGGACGTATAAGATTGACGATGAAATCACACTTACATTAATGGATGATAAGTTATGATCATTTTGTGCTTGTGTATGGACGATTTCGAAAACATAGCCCTTTTCTTTTGGTTTTACAAGAGATTGCTTTTGATATATCATGCCAAAAATTTGAAATGACCAAACAAATGGTTAATTCTATCTGTTTGCTTGTTGATGTCTCTTTTGGAAACCGTAAAGAGACTTCCCTGATATCTCTTTGCTTTCCCTCTAATCTTTGTTAGGGGTGACTCAATTCGGAGCGAAGAACAAATTACGATTTTCCATAATGGACAAGTTTTTGTTAGCGACGTGACGGAACTTCAGGTACTTCGTGTATTGTATGAAATAGGTTTGCATTTTTAGGGAAAAAAACTGTAGGTTCTCTCCAATGTGTATGAATATGATCCGTTTCTTTATATCTCACTCGTTTATTTCATGTTGCATTCAATGTAACGTGGTATTGTAGATTTTCCGGTATATCTATGAGAGTCAATGCTATATGACAACATTGTAACAAACAAAAAACAGAAGAGGAAACTGAGAAATGAAAGGAACAGAACAATCAGAGTCGTGCCATGAAGAATGGTTTCAAAACTAAAAAAGTTCTGGGTAGAAAAGAGGATGTGCAACAGAAGTGTTAGTCAACAAGTAGCTCGAGTCCAACCCTGTGAACCCAACATAAGTGTTATTAATCAGTAGTCAATCATTATTGTTTTTAATTTTTTTCATGTTTTTGGTACATCTGAATAGAATGATTTCGATCTTGACCATGTTTTCGAAGGACAATTAGGATTTCAATTTAAGATAAGCTTTGAACTTTTTTTTTTTTTCAAACGAAAACTTTAACGACAAAGAGTTACCAGACAATCTGATATGTTAAGTTTATCTGGTGTAGGCTAGGGCCATAATTTTGTTGGCAGCTAGAGAAATGGAAGGAAGAGACAGATCGATGTGGTCCAGCGCAGCATTGCTTGCCTTTCACTCTCGAATTTATGGGCCTCCAGGTGTCTCCCTGAAGAGGTCTCTTCAAAGCTTTCTCCAAAAGAGAAAGCAAAGAAGTCAAGCAGCTTCTCCATACAACTCCACCACCAACCTATGAGTATAGGCTGGTTTGGTATTGATATGCTTTGAAAAAAAAATTGATTCTGCTATGTTGTGAGAATAAACTCATTTTTGTTGCTTCACGTTTTTAGCTTTTTTTCCGTCCAAAACTGTGAAAATAAGTTGTTTTTAAGTGTTTACCAAACATCTTTTTTAGCTTAGCTTTTTTTTTATACCCACTTTTTATAAAAGTACCTTAGTACCAAACTAGTACTATATCTCATCAAATATTATTTTATTATTTTAGGTGCTGTTTAATTAATATTAGAGATCAATTCATGTATCTTTTTCATAAGAACTCATAGTGATGCACTGCGTTTTAACCACTTTTAATAATGTTTATTTTTCATAGTTTTCTAGCCATTGAACTTGGCCATTGTATGTAAGTATTCCTTTTTTGAGCCGTTGTACCTAGCCATTGTATGTATTTCATTGTATGAACAAACATTGTATAGTTATATATTGTACTCTTTACGCAAATGTAATCAAGAAAAATCGAATCAAGACAATGTTGTGTGTAGGGCACTATAACCCAGAAAGACACGATTTTAACCGACTTTTTAATTTGTGTTTGGTGTAATACTTGAGGTAGGGGAAAACATTGACAACCAAAGACTATAAGATGTGAGTAAGATGGGACACAGTTTAACACAATGAAGTAAGAAGTGATATAATTAAGGACAGAAGTGAGAAGCAGATTATGAAATGAACAGAAGTGAGGGCCGCTCGACCCATAAATTATGAGGAACTAATGAGTTGGTCAACCTCAAATTCCGTCAAATCTTAAATACGAAAAGCCCAAACATCCAATATCCAACTCTTTATGAGACCCCCCAATTAACAGGTACTGGGTTGGTCAACTTAAGATTGTGTTTCATGCTGGGCTCGGCCCTTTATATGTATTCAATGATGCGTAACTCATCCTGTTTGACTGACTACGTGAGGAGTCGAAGTACTCTCATCAGTTGTTGGAACAAACACCAGAGTGTCCCTGTCAGTATTCTGTCGGTCAGAGCCGACGACAGCAGAGATATGCATCCATTAGCAGGAGGAGGAGTTGAGGACGAAGACGACGAACGACGTCGCCAGAGGAAGCTCGAAGAAGCTCTCGAAATCAAGTCCCTCAGGCGCATCATCAGCGCCTATCTCAAGTACCCTTCTCCCTCTTTCTCTCTCTCTCTCTCTCTCTCTCTCTCTCTCTCTCTCAAGTTTGAATTCGATGATTTGGGATTTATTTAATTTGCATCTATGATTGTAAAAGCCTAATACTTTCGCTAATTTTGTTCGTTTAATATCAAAAGATTTAATTTTTCTTGTAAACAGTCGAAATATTTGAATTTTTGGAAGAAAAAAAAAGCTGCTGTGATTGTCATATTGTCAGCTGGAATATCTGTTCTTTACATTGTGCTCTATTAGATTGTGTATAAATTCTTAAACTTTATGGCTCGAATTTCGGAAATTATGAACCTTTTGATTATTCTGTTGGTGCGACAGCTTATTTTGTTTAATTTTCACAGAGATATCAAATATGTTCCTATAGTTTGAATAATGTCCCCTCATCTGAATGCAGCTACCCGGAGGCGTCAGAAGAGGACGTGAGACGGTATGAAAGATCTTTTAGATTGCTTCCACCTGCCCATAAGGTATACTACTATAAGAGCCTTCATATGTTTAGGAACTTGGATATAGTAACCAATTGGTATTTCACCATCTTTTTTGTTTCTAACGATCTCTCTTGATACTGCAGGCTCTATTATCCCACTACCCATTGAAGTTTCAAAGACTAAGACGGTAAAGTTTTCTTGACTATTTTCTCATTGCATTAATTTCAAGTTTCTAAAATTTGGATATTACACCAATTACTGGCATATGTTTGGTTTTAATTTAAACTGTAAAATGTGTAGGCAAAGTACCTATGATCTAGAGTTAACAGTGAACCTAGTAAAACTTAACATATTAACTCAAAATCTAATCTCAAGGTTAATGTGGTGAAATTTTCTGACAATTTACTGAATATTCTAGAGTATTGTGACGACCAAGATAATATCGTATTTTAAAAAAAAAAATCTGTAAAACATCCTAGGGCTTTCTCTTTGAATACATGATTGATAAAATAGATTTTCGAGATTTGTAATGGGTCAGACTTGTTAATTCTGCAGGTGCATCTCTGCAAATTCATATTTCATTTTTAACATGCTTCAGGTTAGTTCCGACTTCCTACTTATCTATTTTTCTTTCAATAGAAATTTTTTTGATGATATTCCGATAAGGACTGACATTATGTGAGCGATTCCTCATACTGGTCTAATTGGTATTAAGGTATCTTGACTTTGTTTGTCTCCCCACTTTTATATTACATTGCAGGCATTTGAACCCCCACTTGATTTGAGCCAGGACATAGATGTCTGTGATGGACCACATCTTGAAAACATCCCGAATAATCACGATGTTTCTGGAGTAAATAATGTTTTCTCTTCGCAGTCTACCTGCGCTAGCAAAAGATTGCATACCTCCAATTCAGATCAGGCCTGTTGTGGGGAAGGGAGCAATACAGTGTGCAGTTCACCAATAGAGACTACCAATAAGGTTTCTGCAACACTTACAAGACCATGTTAGCTTTTCATTAATGAGAATTAAATGTATATTTCTCTTCATATGTCTTTTTTCATTAGAAATTTGACCTCAATAGATAACCACAGGAGGTAGACAAAAATGGTCATCATGAGTCCATGACCGATAGACATGCTCTAGGCGTGGAATATGACAAAGAGACACAGAACTGTTGTGAGAATGATGCCATTGATTCCAATGGAGATGTAAGATTTTTTGTTTCTTTATAGCTTTAATTTACAACTTATTTGAGTAGGTGTCTGTCTCTTTTTGTAGTTTAATTTTTCAGAAAGTGGCCAAATTTTCCTATTAAAATTGTGGCTTTCTTTGTGATACATGTTCAGGTATCCTCACCAACTCGGACATGGTTGGATCCATCATTACAATTACATGTTCCATTAGTTGATGTTGATAAGGTATGTTGCTTCTTGTGTGTTGGATATCTGGTTCTATGAGACTACTTGTCTTCCCTTTAAGCAATAAGAAATACAAGTAATAAAAATTTTGGTTTAATTTATCAAAATTTCTTTTACCCTTGCTACAGGTTCGTTGTGTAGTACGGAACATAGTTAGAGACTGGGCGGCAGAGGTATCTCATGATTTATCATTGATTTCTGTGCTCGAGGATATCTTATCTGTGATTCCCAGTTTTACTTAAGCTTGTAATTATATAAAATACAGGGACAGAAAGAACGTGATCAGTGCTACAAGCCTATATTAGAAGAACTTGATGCACTTTTTGCTAATCGCTCTAACGAAAGGTAATGTTATTCTGTTGGCTTGTGCTTGTATCGTTTCTTAACCATTGCAATTATCAGATTACTGTTTCTTATCGAGCGAGTGGTTTTTTTTTTTTTTTTTCCAAGTACTTTACTAGTTTACTGTGTACGATAATCATAATTATTTTTTAACAGTCCTCCTGCCTGTTTGGTTCCTGGTGCTGGACTTGGGCGGCTGGCTTTGGAAATCTCGTGTCTAGGTGTGCATACGTTTTTTGTTTGCTAAGAATTCGATTATAACATATTTATACTCATGTTTATTATTTCTCATATTTTATACAGGTTTTATAAGTCAGGGAAATGAATTTTCATACTACATGATGATATGTTCGAATTTTATTCTTAATCAGTAAGCATGTCATTACATCTCACCTTAAACTGGTCTTTAATCATCTTGCTATCACGAAAAAGGAATCCTTTTTCTGACCATGGAAGAGAGTTTTCAATGGTTGGCAATAGATTCTTTTTCCGATATATTTCATTTTAATTTTGTATTCTATGTTTTCTTTTCTTAGATGTTTTTGTTTGGTTAATCAGTTGCCAAACTGCTGGGGAGTGGACAATATATCCTTGGATCCACAGCAATTGCAATTCACTTTCAGATAGTGACCAACTTCGTCCCGTTCCAGTACCAGATATTCATCCAGCTAGGTACTGATGCTGCTAATTCATTTGTTACAAAAGCGTTTCTGACATACTTTCAGTTCTCTAAATACTTTTAAGGCGTTTATCCATGAATCATTGAAATAGATTGTAGTTGAATATACTCTATACGCTTCAATATCCTTTTTTTATTTTTTATCGCTGTCCTAGAAAGAAATAACATGCTTTTCTTCTAATTTTTTAATATATGAATCCTATTTTCTTTTCATAAAAGCTTCTATTAGGATTTGTTTTCCAATAATTGTAGGTTTTCTTTCAAACAGTGCAGGGATTACTGAAGGATTTTCTATGTGCGGTGGTGACTTTGTTGAGGTTTACAACGATCCAAGCCAAGTAGGTAAGAAAATATGGGTTTCTTATATTCAAACATTTGATTGATGCTAATGAACACTTGATATTTTGAGCACCTAGTAGTAGCAAATATTGTAAGAAATTTTCCATTGCATTTAGCCTGTGGTAATCCATTTGTTATAAGGTGTATAATGTGGCAAGTTGCTTCTGCATAGTGACGGGTGGTCTTAAATTGTTAAGGTCTTGTGTTGATAACCTGAGACAGCAAGTCAGGACGACTTTCAACCCGCTGGTGGGGAATTAATAAACAGAAAATGACATACAGAATGCTAAATGTAGGCTAATATAGGTTTCAACAGGTAGTTGCCTTGTCTGGTATAAACACATCTGGGTGAGATAAAATAAATTTCTTGCTTCCCATTCATAGCGTCTAAATATTGATATAATCTTTGTGAGGAGACCTAAATGAATCTCGTGTCACAAAGATTGACAAAGTTAATTTCCAAAGTAAATTTAGGGGCAATGTATAATAAGAAAAACCTGGTCAAACAGATTGACGAAGCAAACTTAGACAGTTCATGGCGAAGCAAATTTAATTTGTTAACGTTGCTTTACTGCTGAGGAAATTACCTTTGAAAGATTGAGACTGGGATGCACTCTAGGAAATTGCATAAATAACCTCTGTAGTATTTCTCATGGAGATAGTTGTGGAACGTACAGGTGTCTGGGATGCGGTTGTGACCTGTTTCTTTATTGATACCGCGCACAACATTATTGAATACATTGAAATCATATCAAGAATCTTGAAAGACGGCGGTAGTAAGTTCCTCAATCAGTCAGTCGTGGCTTCAATTTGTGTTCCGCTGTCTGATCACTTTCATTAATCCTTATTGATTCAATGACAGGTTTGGATAAATCTGGGTCCCCTACTTTATCACTTTGCGGATGTCTATGGGCAAGATGTAAGCTTCCTTTCAATTAAGCAGTTTCGTTTGCTCGCTTGCTCTCTGAGGGAGCCCTATATTCTCTTTAAAATTGTTTTTATTATTTTGTTTTAGGAAATATCTATTGAACTGAGTTTGGAGGATGTGAAGAGGGTTGCTTTGCACTACGGATTTCATTTCGAGGTAAGTTCATTCCAATTCTATTGTGTTGCTCAAGCATCATTGGATGATCATAACCGTATAAATTGCCTTGTTCATGAACTGCAGAAAGAAAGTACCGTTGAGACAACCTACACTACAAATCCTAGGTCAATGATGCAAGTAAGTAGTACCATGTGATGTGGCTTTTCTTGTTCTTCCTTACAATTCTTTATTCCACTTTCATGTTGTAAATTTGAAACTGGATCTCTGCGTATGTTTTGAAACCTGTTTAAAACTGAGTTGGTTCTGTTAAAATCTTTGTTGCTTTTGATAATCTTAAGGTCCGTTTTTTCCTTGCAGAACCGATACTACGCCGCATTTTGGACGATGAGGAAGAGATCGGCAGCAATGGAGCACCAACCTCTTTAACCGAGAGACTTTCACATTCTTGACGCTTGAAATAGTTTTTTTTTTTTTTTTTTTTTTTTTTTTTTAATCGAGTTGATTGTTATATTACTCGAGGATTACAAATTCTTATTAGTTTAAAATATTTAATTTAAACGTGAAATAATTTTATATTTTATTTTTTAAATTGAAAAGTAGAAAATACTTCCCAGGAACCTCTCCCATGCAAATCTCTGGCGGCCCTTCACCGCAATTAGGATCACGATGATTCCCATGCAAATCTCCACTTCCTAGTAAGCCAACAAGTAACCGCAAAATTAGGGCTCGAATTAAGCCCAAATCATAGCTTCTCCATATAGCATTGTATCAATGATTTACGATACTGTCACCTTGGCAGCTGATTTCATGCAAGTTAAGTTGTGAACGACATTGGTTTTTATAAAGTTTGACCTATATCCCTGGATGGTAATCAGTGTCGAAAGCAATATACATAATTAACGTAGTGAGTGTCTTTTTCATATCAGGTTTGATTAATTATGCGCACAGTTGGCTCGATAGGTCTTTCCTGGACTGAAGCTGTTGGGAGGGCGACCTCTGCAACATTCCCCATGCACTTCAAATCTTCGACTTGCCTCAAGTGATGGTGCAGTGATGTATACCGCTGAGGCATTCTAATGGACCTGTAAACTTGAACATTGTTCCTACATGACCGGATCAATTTGATCAGGCACTTGCTCATTGACAACATTAAAAATCATTGTTCAACTCTTTAACAACATGACAAACCAAAAGCTTTGCTCTCCCCTCTATTTATCTAAAGGATGGAAGGGCAGAAAGGTGTCCCCTCCAATCAAGAATTTGGGCCTCACAGTTCTATCATGCCTTTCTTCCGTCATGGTTCGATATTCTGGTATCCTAAGCGTGGAGGAACCACACCATTCCATCCTCAATTTGGTTGTTAAACTCCATTGCGGTGACGGTATCCTAAATCTCAAACCGAAGCTGAACCAAAATAACTTGGTTTGAATTAATAGAAAAATACTTCTGTCAATTTCAATCTGGTTCAGTCTAGTTCGGGTTTTCAAAAATATTCTAGACACTAATGCTCTAATTTTCTGTTTATATACATATAGTCAAATTATTGTTTAATTTACACCCAGTATGCTAAAAAATCACTACATTTATATTTTAAATTGAAAATTATCTACATAGACACACGAATGATCACATAGTACAATTATGACCTTCAACACCTTCAGCTTTCTATCCTTACCAACCTGGTGACGCCCGATTCGGTCGCTCCCTTTCGAAAAGAAGAACGAAAACACACAAATTAATGTGGATGCTAATAAGTTGCTAACAGAGAGAGAGAGACAGATAACTCAATTTGAAATATGGGAGAAAATGAGAGAGAGATGGAACAAAAGGAGTTTTGAAGGTTCTGTAAGACTACACCCTGTACATTATCTCTATCCCTATGCTTCCAGTTCAACACAGAGCCACCAAAATAAAAGCTCCCCAGAAGAACCATACTTCCACACTCCAAACTCCCCGTACCATACAGACGGAACCCCATCACATTACACATTTTTCTTATGCATGACTATCAATTCATCATCAAACCGAGCATCGCATGTTTTCTTGACCTTCGAAACAGTAAAAAGTTAAGCAACAAATAAAAGCAAAGCCTTTAAAATTACTTCGTTGGGGATGCACGCATGCAGGCACTATCCCTGGCACACCCCGGCCAGCCACGTTCCAAGCAGATTCACTTTGTTAAAGAATCTGACCTCCGCTCAAAGAATCGCCGGCCAAAGATGGATTATGTTTTTTTTCAGAAAACTTGTAGGTCCTCCATTATCCCCTCACTGATTCAGAGTTCATTTGACCTCCGCTCCCGCCATGGGCATTAAGACCAGAAATGGGCATTGATCGATGAGCAAAATCTGACAAAAGCTTCCGCTGATGCTCATCTGTGTGAGGAAGACTAGCACGCAGAAGCTCCACAGGCATTTCACGATGTATCGCCCTGGTGGCCTCTGAACCAATAACTTCTGCACTCTGCTGACTCTGTGTAAATATTGATTGTACTATAGTTTCATACTTACTCAGGCAATACTTGGTGAGCAGACCAAAAAATTCATCAAAGGATGCCTGCCAAAGGGTGCGGTTAGAAATGCTACAGCTTCCAGCAGCATGAGGGTCACTTAAGAGTACAGTTGCCCTTTCAAGAACAGATTTTAGAATAATAGTGGCCCCATCTCCAGCAGGGCTTCCAAGGGGTCGAAGTGGTGGCTGCTCTGATGAACAAACTACTGCAACAAGACAAGCACTTAATGCACGAAGATCCACACCATTTATACATGTAGAAACTGTCTTTGCAAGATTAGTAGTTGTCTCAGCAGCTCCAGGATCAGAGGGTAGACCACCATACAAAAACCTTAAATGACGGAAAACTGTCATACAGACAATACGGGCAAGCTCGCTACCAGGGAAGAGAAGCTGAATAAACCTAGAAAGGAGCTTGCGCCCCTTAGGAAGAGAAACTATACGTAGGAACACAAGGTCATCCTTTGGAACCAGCCCCGCTGAGTGGCTGCCTTTACCAAGTGGGTCGACAAGCTGAAGCGATGCCGCCAGCCCTTCTAGCAGTATTTGCCGCCTTCGCCTGAGTTGAACCCCACCATCTTGGGGCTGACCATGTTGTAGCAGTCGATCAATGTCATCAATATCAAGAAGGAGACAAAGGCCATCCTCAATAGCAATTCTAGCAGCAAGCATGGGTTCCTGCTCCAGAGGCTTCTCAGAGACCTGTTTGCCGTCGCCAGAACCAGGGGGAGGATCAACTTCAAGGAGGGGGCGAGGCCTACGTATGGAAGCGAGGGGAATTCTCCCAAGAGCGTCAACAGAACTATGAGTATGCTGATCAGTACTATTACGACCTCGGGAGGGGGACTCTCTAAGATGAGATGGGCAAAAAGGATGTTTCAACCGCAAGCCAGCTGCTTTTTTGGAAAGGCTTGCCTGGTGGTAGTAATCATCAATATAGGGGTCATTGCTATGTGTTGCTGCATGCTGCATTTTAAGAATACTCTCTATCTCTTCAGATGTCATGTGCTTAGACCTGAACTGGATCCACCCACTCTCACTTTTCTGACTACCAGCATCAGAGCCTTGAGAAAAACGTTGTTTTCCTCTTTTCGGTCTATGATCTCGTACGTCGGACAACCCATGCATTGACTTATGTGATGAAGAAGGATGAGTACCATAAAACTGAGACTGCATTGCAGCAAAATGGGCCATAGATGGCTGAACCGAGTGGTGCAATCTCTGCTGTTGTAGCTGCTGCTGCTGAGCTGACAGTAATTGTGGGGAAATAAGTCCATTTTGATGAGGGAGCTGTTGCTGCAATATATTGTTTATGAGGCTGGAATGATCACCGTGCAATACTCCAGCATGGGTAACCCAATGATTTTGCGACCTGCTATTGAAAGGAAGGCCAGGGTTGGCAAACTGAGGCATGTTTCCTCCATAATGCAACCCAAGAGGTAAACCGGCCATATGAAGATTAGAGTTAGATAAAGGAGAAAGGTTTGGTGCAGAAAAAGGCAACTGGGAACCACCGGCAAGAGCAGAAAGATTCAGCTGATGTGGTGAACCCTGTGGGAACTTGTTTCCAGGAGGAGGGAATGATGTGAATGCTGACTTGGGCGGTACAATTGGTTCACTAGAGAAGTGATGCTGGACTGGCTGCTGGTCTGGGTATGAAGATGTTCTGTACAAAGGCTTTTGCTGTTTTGATTCTGAAAATCGAGCAGAAGAAGGTTGGGGCTGTGAAGACCACCTCTTTCCTTCCTGTGAAATTTCTGTATCAAACATATGCTGATCTAACCAGTTATTGAAATCTCCGTCTTGGGCCCAATCAGTGGCTGATGAACCTGAAGAAAACACCACGTTAGATAAAGCCAAAATATAATCGAGACAATTGGAAATTGTACAGAGAAAGATATATCTACATTACATACTTCACAAATGGAAGAAATCAAGCACATCAAAAGATACCAAAGAGGTGATAAAAATTAACTAGCGATAAAAGGAGAGGGTGGTATAATGACCATAGACAAAAGTTGAACTCTTGGAATCTTAATTATCTTATAGCTAACTGCTGCTGTTTTTCAGCCTGCTTACTTCTATTCTGCAAGAGGTATTCGTCAATTTGTCCCCCAAACTGGTAAGGATTGGCCAATTTTCCCCCTCAACTCTCATAATTAGTCAATTTCCACCCCGCTGTTGGATTTTTGAATTTTCCATCCATTCATCCGTTAAGTATGTCACGTGCTATCCACATGATCAACTCTAAAGGGCAGAAACGCCATTTTCTCCAAACCTTCTATCTTCTTCCTTTTCTTCCACCCATGTTTTCTACTCACCATATTTCTTCTCTGTTTGACTTCTCAAACCAAACATTTCTCTCTGTTTCTCCTCCGACCTCGAAACCCAACATTCAATTCCAGGTCGTTCTGCCAAGGCGTGGATTGGGTCGATGGTCTGAAGCTCCAGCTGCCACCACAGGGAGCATGGAAAGAAGAAGAAGCTTGCCGCCAAAGAAGAGAGTGCCTTAAAAGTTTGGGGGGCAAATCGGCAAATGCCTCATTTTGCAATGCAAAGCAACAATACCACCCAATCTTTTGCAATTAAATCTCAAGTATCTAGATCTTAAAAAATCAATCAATGATAAAGCATAATGTGCAAACAATTGTATGAGTGTTCTAGTTTTAATACTGTTACAACGAGTGCACTCATGTTTCAATTTGACAAATTGTTTATGGAATGCTAAAACACATCATATATGTTAAACAGAGGTAACAAAAACTGTGTAATGCATATCCGACAATTTCTTGTCTTATTTATTAGACTTCAATAGAGGCTCATTTCCAGCGGATACTGGCTCAAATAAGATGACCTAAGATTATAAGCATTATCGCATATGGGACAAAGGAACAATTTCAGAGCAAGCATGCGTGCAACAAAAATAAGAACCACTATAATGTGATGACAAAAGTTAAGAGTTACTCACTTTCCCGTGAAAAAGATCCTGAACCTCTGTCGCCAATAACTCCTGGATGTCTTGGTCCTGTTACAACTTTGTTTAACTATGCAAAAGAAAAAATATGTCACTACTAAGAGTTCTTTTTTTGTTTTTGGTGGGGGGGGGGGGGGGGGGGGGCCAAACTAGGCTATTAGATGAAAACATCAGGAAAATGAACTCAATGGACCAGAAAAATCAAGCATTCTACAAAAGAATCTAAAAACTTTCGAGCTTTAAAGACAAACATATTGATTAATCACAAGTATAACAATAAAGCATAGAGTTAAAACTGAGGGAAATAATATAATATGCTACATTTAAACCATCACATTTACAGGGTAGAACCATCCCTAGTAATTTGTAAGTACTGGCAAGTGGCAGATAAGACTCTGATGACAAATATAGCTCAATCATTCCAGTCTTACTTTGTTGCAATGAAATATCATCAGCAAAGAACAAATAAAAGGATACATATATTCCAGTACTGACCAAAAAGTTCATAATTTCGCGCAAATTTAAGTGTATAATATGCAAGAACATACAGCTTGAAGTATCTCTCAATGGATGTCATGCTTACAATGATAAGATTTAAAAGAATTCAGGACCAAAAGGCATGCAATACCAGAGATATAAATTAATAGTACTTCTAAAAGAAAAAAACAGGTAACAGTCACTAAGATCTTTAAACGATAAGTACAGCCACACAACTTTCATTCAAAAAACCATGTCAAACAAAAGATGTGGACCAACAGTTATTGATTGCAGACAAACTCAGAAAGTCATCAAAGTTAAGAAAGCTGACCTTTGCAAAAGTACTTGCCAGATCATCGACGTCAGATAAAGATCCCAAACCAAGACCCTAATGCAAAAGGAAAGATTGACGTCAATAAACTAAATAGACAACGAATATGCAGCTTATCACAAGGAATAAAAAGGATAGGGAAATGGGTGCACATAGCATCAGGTCAGGTGTTAAGAGTACTCAGCATGAATAAAGAAAAATATACGCACACCAGCTCAAGTGTAAGTGAATAACTTAGCATGTGAAACAATGCTTCAAAAAATACACAAGTGCAAATTAAACACAATAAACTATTTCATTGTTGGCCTTACGGACCATTGTAAGCTGTTTTTTTTGTGGGGGGTGGGTGGGTGTGTGTGGAGAAGAAGATAATCTAACCTCTTCTTTGTCAAATAAATGGTACTCATTATCAACAGGCCCAAATAAAGGTTTCCTGTCTTCCACATCGTCCAAACCCCCCAACTCAACTTCGTCCACCAGATTTTGACCAAAAAATTCATATTGTGACGCATCAAAGAGTTTATTCTCTGTATGACAATACAAAAAAAGGTTAGACATCCGTAAAAAGAGAGCTAATTTCACTAATTTCAAGAGTTCATAAATATGTTACGCTGCGAAAATGAATCATCAAGACATCTGAAAAAAGTGAGCTAATTTCAACAGTTCATAAACAAGTAAAGCTGCGAAAATGAATCATCGAAGTCATGGTACTAAGTGCTAATAGCGCAGTGCATACTAAAACAGAACAATTATCAAGCCATTGTGCAAATTCCGAAGAGCGAGTACCCCAACTATTCATTTCGCATACGATTCAAACCACAAAGACAGACAAATTTTCAGTCTTTCTCATAACTAGGCCTCGTAATTCAGTCAAGATGAGAACTTGACCGGTATCATACAGCCTCGAAACAGCCTTAAATCAAAATTAAGTTAAACTTGATTGTGAGAGTAAATTCTCTGCAGAAATTGTTGGGCAACAAAAATTTACATCCATAAACAGTATCATAAACTCCGAATTTCGACTTCTATACAAATCTCCCAAACAAGCTACAGAAGCAGGTCGAAGAACAAAAACCCTCATCATTTTCTGGTGAGAAAAGATTGGAAAGGGGAAACAAGAATCGCATGCCAATTTTCGCCTCAGATTCTTCGAACCAAAAGGACATTCAAACATTTACGATCGTCGTTTCCTTTCCTTCTACTCTCTCAGCATCCAAACAACCTCTTAAGCAAAGAAGAGAAAAAAATACAGATCTTGAAGGCAAAAGACGAAAGCAGACCTGACGAGGAACGCTCAAGCAAGTCCCTGAAATCCGTGCCATTAGATCTCTCCATATTTACAGAACGACCAACACCGCCGTCCCCGACCCTAGAAACTGGAAGCTCCGCCGCGGAACCAAAAACTACGCCGTATTGGTCCAGATCAGCACCAACACCGCGAAGCGCCGAACCTCCAAGGCTTCATTAGGAGATTTACGCGGTGGGGGATGGCAAAGGAGTGTAAATAGAGGGGAATCCGCGGGTCAAATTCGAGAAAGATGGTTAACCCCTCTCTCTTCTGAGAGGGATATTGGAGAGAGAGAGAGAGGGAGGAGAGAGAGAGGGAGAGGGTTAGGTCATTTTCTTTGCAGCGCGAAAGAGAAGACGACTTTCGCATTCGCGCACGTGCCTTCCTCCAGCGAATGGCGGTGAGCAAACGCAGAGAGAGAAGGCGCGGCGAGGTGGTGCGCTCTCATTGGTTGGCTTCCAACTGTTTCTTTCTCTATTAAACTCGGATATTCGGACTCGGTTGCGGGATATGGACCATCATGTCCGGGTCGACTGTGGAGATGTTTATTTTAGTACGGCTGTCTAGCTGTCACATAATGTAATTAATTAGGGATGTAAATTGAGTTAGGTTAACCCGAATTTGCTTATGTTTAACTCGATTTTAAATTCGATCAGGTGGTTAGGATGAAGAAAAAACCTGCCCAATTCGATATCAATCCTGTCATTTATTGAGTTAGGTTGGGTTGATGTCGTGTCGCACATGTCAACTCACGCTCAACTTGATTTTGAGTTCAAGTTCGCTCATGCACATATTACTCATTTCACTTCATATTATGTAAGTTATGTATAAATTTTTGAATGACTATACTTCTTTATTGTCCATTTTCATATGAATAATGAATGATAGTGTTACCTTTACATTTCTTTTGGTTGAAGCTTTAGTGTACGTCTTGTAATTTAATTTCAACTTTGCATGGTTGAAACATTAGACATAATCTCCAAGTTGTTTCTTTTGTCTTATGTGTGGATGATGATGTGTAAATGAAATATTAACTAATATTAATGTTATTTGGTTCAAATTTTGAAAAATCATACAAAACAAAATGTTATAAGATTGGACTCGATGAATTCGGCTAGTCCGAACCCAACCAAAATTCGAACCCAAATACAACCTGAACCCGACTAAACCTACATGAATCTGAACACAAACCAAACTCAAATTATAAACAATGGATTAGGGTTGAGTTGACCATCCAACATGCCCAACACGCCCAAGTTGCACCCCTATCATTAATTGTTTTAAGTTATAATTTGTGTATTTATGAAGCATCAGTCACTTTCAATATGTAATATGTAATTATATGATTCTCGTTCTTTTCCTCACTTATTAGTTTTCGTGGTCACATAAGCTTGAATTTTACATCGAAAATAAGATTATAACATCAAAATCAATTTCATTTATATTGATAACGATGCGTGAAAATGTAATTACCACACTGAAAAAATATTTGCCTCGTAGCCGATGACGGAGTTACGCGTATCATCGCGTGACAATGGCAACTTATACCGTGATTTGATGAGGGATAAGGGAATGCATGTGGGGCTCCACGGTGAGATTGCTCGGCACGCAATCGTTTCATAAGAGGATACGCGGCTAGGATTTGGAGAAAATTACGAGACGGCGCGTTTTGGTTGTATTGCTATTATTTTTGCCAAGAGTTTCTTCAAGGAAAGTGTTGTTTTCTTTCCTTTTTTTGTAGAAATTTTCTCATTTATGAAACGTGCAAGATGAGAATTCAGAGATGATTTAGGTAGTAGGGTGTAAGCAACGAGAAAATTGGGTAGCAAAGAAAGATAGGGTGTTAGAAATTTGGTAACAAACAAAACCCTATGTGAAAGACAATTATTCAATCTAAAAATTCCGCCAAAAAAAAATAAAACAAACCAATTCAATCGGAAACAGTTTTAATCACAATAATGTTGGATAATTACATTTGTTGGGCACAATATATGTCGATATCAATAATTGATCATAATAATTGATACAATAAGAATACAGTCTACTAATGCATCGATATACAAGTATTTCATGTAACAATGTTCTTTTGACCCTCTTTTGTGGAAAAATAACATTGTTGATAGTTTGTTTAAAGAGTTGTTATTGACCTCCTAGTAAAAAAAAACAAAAACAAAAACAAGAAGTGAATGATGATTTTTTAGACGTGCTAATAACAATTTTATTCTTTTAACCTATAAAACCTACGGAAAACTTGGAAGTGCTTTCAAGTAGTGCTTGAGAGTATAGGGGACTGAGGAGAGAACCTAATTAGAATATGGTTGTATATATAGTAAACTAGGCTAAGTCCACAAACTGTGAGTAAATGCAAAAATTTTGAAAAGAAAAAAAATATATATGGAAAAGAGAACAGTTGGAAAGAAATGTGAGAGAAAGGAAAGAAATGTGAGAGAAAGAAAATGTCAGGTTTTTTTTTTTTTTTTCAAATTAGAGTTGTTATGATGACATCGAGGTGTGGTTTAAAAAAATGCAAAATTTAGTTTGTGTAAAATTACATTATTGTTCATGATTTTATTTTGTGCAAAAAATTAAATTATCTTTTCACTCTTTTTTAATTGAAATATAAGATTTTATCAATGAGTAGTTTAAATTAGAATACGAGGGAGGACTAGGGATTAGGTGTTTAGTCTTTTTCTCTCTTGAGGATTTTTTTTTTTTTTAGTACAACGATATTTTTATATTAAGAGGAGGAGGAGTTTGGCAAAGTCATACGTTAAGCAACCTATTTAGTATCGAATTCACCATCCACGAGATTCGAACCTAGTACCTCTCACTTCCAAGTGAAGAGGAATATCACTAGACCATAGTACTAAGTGGCATCTCTTGAGGAATTAATTACGTACAAATCATGCATACATGTCTTTCATATATAATTTCTCCATCCCAGATTAATAACGATTAGTTAGGAGAAAATATAATTGTTAAGAACTACAATTAGTGGAACTCCAACAAGAAAGAAAAAAAAAAAACCAGTAGAGCATCTCCCAATAACATATCAATATGTAAATGATAGGAGCATATTTATGCGACTTAATTGGCTTGTTCTCATGCATTTACGTTGTGTTTCTTTAGTTATTTTAGTCCTTTATGCCATTTTCGTGTGTTTCTAGGTTCATATGGCTAAGGAAGCAAAAATGTGCATTTTGGAGCATTTTGGAGCAAAATTGGCCTTGGAATGGATAGCATATGCTTGGAGCAAAAGGAATGGACGAAATTGAAGACCTAAAGATCTTATGTTTGAGCAATATCAAGGACTCCTACCTATTCTAAGTCACAAAACAATGGCCCTAGCCCAATTACACTACCTTGTCGTGGGCTTAACCCTATTTCCCTTCCCTTGCCGTGCAAGGGGGAGCATTTTGGGTCCATTTTATGCACTTAAACCCTAGCCCTTTAACCTTTGCAACCCTATTATGATTTATTCACTTTCATTCATATTCTATTTCACCCTAATTCACCCTAGCAGCCACCATAACATTATTACAGCCCTAAGCCGTGCCTAACCATTCATTTCCAACTTTCCCCCCTAACATTTCCAGCTTTTCTTCATCATTGCAGCCACCATTCACTCTTTAATCCAAATGCATTCATCATCATTCACACTAATACACAACCTGCCATCATTCACACCATCTTCCCCTTTGAAGCCGTGCATCACACACCCATTCAACATTTCCAGCTTTTCTTCATGATGGCAGCCACACTCTCTCCCTAGCTGTCATTCCACATGCATTCATCATCATTCCTCCTAGCTGTTTTTCACATGCGTTCCCTTCATTAATTCAGTCACATTCTCTCCCATTCTCTCCCTATAAAACCATGCAATTCATACACCTCCATTCACACAGAAACACCTCCATTACCACAACACAACAAGCAAAGCCGTGCATTTCCTTCCAATTCCAACATCTATCCTTCCATTTCAACCACCCCCCATCCCTCCAAAACACTACCCTACTATCACACAACCATTCCTCCATACAAATACGACCCCAAAACCTATCCTTAGACCTTGTGCCACAACAAAGAGGAGAAGAAGGGCCTAAACGTTCATACAATTCAAGTTTGAGTTGTTGGAATTTTTAGGTGTTTTCTTTTCCTTGATTTCAATGATTAATTTTACTTATCTTTGTTTTGTACGTATGAGGAACTAAACCCCCCCTTGGCTAGGGGGGGATTCGAAATACATGTTTATGCTTGCAATATGATTTGATTACTTCTAATTACGTTTCATAAGTTGTGAATTCAATTTACTTATCTATGTGAATTACTTTGATTTGTGTGTGTTGGTTGAGAGTGCACGCTTAATTATCATGCATAAATTGGATGCTAGGATATAAGGAAATTTCACCTAATCGTTATGGAATTATATTCACAAGTAGTAAAGTTTGATGATCTCAATCGCGTTAAGTAAATTCTTGGCATAAGTTTCATGCAATCATAGTAACAAGTGATTCGTCAATGCTTATGGTTTTCATAGAACATAATGATTCTTGCTTGTATCTCTATTATACAATCATGTAGGGGACTTGTGGGGAATGTTTTGGGTTGTCGTATGCAATCATCCAATTCAATAACGTCAGGAAAATCTGAGGGTTAATTAGTGCAATTCACGGTTAATCTGGGGCGTTGAGAATTCATGGTTTATTGAAAAGCAATTAGAAATCGTTTTGTGTGCAAGTATAACATGTGTGAAGATGAAACCCTTAGCTAGCTTCCCATCCATTCAATTCCATCAAATTCGTATTTACAATTCGTTTTTACAATCTGTCCATTTTAGTTTAATTTCGTCAAAACCTCAATCCTCCCATATTTTGTTTAGTCTTAGTCATTACAATCTATCTTATTTTGAGTTTTGCATTATTTGAGTCTAGTATAGTGTTTTAAACTTGTTTTTACGTTTTTGAGTCAAATCCAAGTGATTAACAATCCCTCCTAATCCCCGGTCCAGAACGATCCCTACTTACATGCTTACTACAATTGATAAAAAGAGGGTTTAATTTGTGTGCGTATAATTCTCGCATCAAATTTTGGCACCGTTGCCGGGGATTAGCAAAGTTGCTAATCCCTTAGATTGTTATTTTCTGTTTAGTTTTATTTTGTTAAAGTTTTTTTTATTTGTGTTTTGTTTTGTTTTGTTGATTTTAGGTACTAGAGAAGCAAGACATGGCACTTGATAGTGCTTCTCTTTTGTCACAACTCATGGAAAGGTCCCAAATGCAAAGAGTTGGTACATTTGATCATAATCAATCAAGGAATGACGTGTTTTCCAATACTTACAATTCAGATTGGAGTGATCATTCAAACTCTATGTGGTGGGAACCTCAACATATTCAACAAGAAGGATATTGGCAGCCAT